TAAACCCACTAGGAAATTTTAAAAGCCCAAAGCAACAAGATAGGTTCTTACTGTAGCTCAACTTCAGTGATGCTCTCAGAATTCGGAGACGTCCAATTTGTGTCTAAGAACATGTCATTTTGGTTTTTCACGTAATACAGGGAACTGCCGTTGCACTGCTTGTCTGCTCCTTGCCAGAAGCCCACTGAGTTCTTGTTCTTGTCCATGGCTTGCATGACCACAGCACTGACATTGCTATTTACAGGAACCCATACTAGAAAGAAATGATGGGGACACGGTCAGCCACCTGTGCACTGTGGGCCAAGTTCAAGGGATGAAGGAATGACATTGAAATGAGGTGTGAACAAAGAAAGTTACAAGAGTAGGTACATAGAGTGTGCTCTCATTTTTGTAAATGAAATTGAAAGTCTGGAAGAAGATACATCAAGATATTAGCCATGATTTCTTGGTAGCGGGATTATAGATGATTTTTTTTACTTTCTCCCTAGTGCTTATTTTGGGGTTTTCCGAACTGTCTTCAGTCAAAGGTGGACAAAAGCAAACCTGTACTCTGGTTCTAGTTTTGCTACATGCTAGAGGAGATCTGGGAGGAAGTCTCTACTCCCCCAAGCCAGGACCCATTTGCCGGATGAGAGGACTAAGCCTGTTTGCGGAGGAGTGCGGGGATGGAAGAGGTTGATGCATGTGAAAGAGTCGAGTGGGCCAAGTATAAGCAAAGCCCGTTTTGTGGTCCCAGAAATGCTAAGTGCCTTTAAGCCACAGGACGGTAAGCCAAGTACCTGTCGAGTAACCCCTTAGGGCAATTCTCTCCTCAGGGGAGTGTTTTCCTGGGCTCCATCCTAACATGCACTCACAGGGGACCCTGCTGACTCACTGGCACATGTTAATTCCACTTGTTGATTTTAGTCTTCTGTTGTGTAGTGGGGGAAGGGGGGTGGAATTTAAAAGAGAACATTTCAGTTCCTCTATATCTTCCCTTAGAGTATTCCTTCTGAGTGAGCCCCTCAATGCTAGGGTGTTGTTCTCTCTAGGGTCCTCTCAGTCACCCACAATTTCTTCAAGGTCTCCCCTTCATAAGGCAAAGAAATAGACCATGTGGTGCAAAAGGATCAGACAATCCTGGAACTGAATTCTCTCTAGCACCTAGGATCAAGTCATTTCACCTGCAAGCATCGTTTCCTTATTGTCATAATTAACTCCCCAGATCTTTCCTTCCTCCCTCCCTCCCTGTCTCCCCCTCCCTCCCTGTCTCCCCCTCCCTCCTTTCCTCTCTCTCT